AGAGAGAGAGAGAGAGAGAGAGAGAGAGAGAGAGAGAGAGAGAGAGAGAGAGAGAGAGAGAGAGAGAGAGAGAGAGAGAGAGAGAGAGAGAGAGAGAGAGAGAGAGAGAGAGAGAGAGAGAGAGAGAGAGAGAGAGAGAGAGAGAGAGAGAGAGAGAGAGAGAGAGAGAGAGAGAGAGAGAGAGAGAGAGAGAGAGAGAGAGAGAGAGAGAGAGAGAGAGAGAGAATTAGAGAGATATGAGAGTTTTTGAATGAAAATTGAAAGAATAAAATGAGGTATTTATAGTTTTAAAATAGGGCCAAAGTGTATTTGAAAATTTAGGGATAAAAAACAAAACTAGGGGGTAAGGGGATATTGGGGGAGCTAGGGAGCCAAAAATAGTCGTTTTTGGCCGTTGAAAAAAAAATCGTTGGCTAACGGTACAAAAAGGCCATATTTTAAATTTGAAAAACAAACTATTGGTACCGGTTCGGTACCGGTCCAATATCGGTACGGTACCTTAAGGGTACTTCCTGTACCGATACCAAGGGTACTAATTCGGGTACCCTACCATTACCCTTAACCTTCGCCCCTAATTCCTCATCCCCAAGGGCGTACGCAGAAATTTTTGTAAGCAGTGTCGAAATTTATAGATGAACGGGAATAATAACTTTAATTATCATACTTTTAGACAAAAATTATTATTAGTCTATTGGTTTTATTGAGTTTTAAGTTAAAAAAAGTGACTTCTTAGAGTAAAATAAAGCACATAACCAATATGCCACAAGATAATTTATGTTAAGTAGTGTCATATTTTCCTACTTGTCCATTTCTTTACAATATTAATACATATATTTAACATATATTTAGTAAAAAAAATTCGACTAAGCGGTCGCGTGACACCGCTTCATTAGACGTACATCCGCCTCTACTCACCTGTTGTGAATACAAACACGTTGGCAGCTGACAAAGATGACAGGGAGGATGCCACTAGTGACCATCACATGGATCTTCCACGTAGGAGTTCTAGAACAGTAATTCCTCCGGTTAAACTTGGGGATTACGTTTGGAAAGGAGGAGGGGCACGTAAGTAAAATGACAGAGTTTGTTAGAAAGATAAAAGCAACAGTAGTGCAGCATTGCGAGGCAGGCAAAAATGTTATGAGTGATTTCTGGTTTTCTCATCTCTTTTCTTCTGTTTCCTCGTCTCCTTCCTCTACCTATCTTAGCTACTTTCCTTTTGCATTTTCATTTGTAATTTAGTCAATTGACTGTTGCAAGTTACTGTCCAATTTGTAATTGTTCTCCAGTTAACTAATATCAATTAGATAGTTTGGCTACTATTTCATTGAGTAATAGTTGGCATTACATTGGTGCTTTCATTCCATAGGTCTGTGATGGAAGACCAACAGCAACTCAAGGCTCTCATTGCCGACTCGATTCAGGAAGTGAAGGATTCCTTTTCTAAAGAACTCGCTGAGATTCGTGAGATTCTCCTGGAGGTTGTCGAAAACAGAGCTCCGGCAGGCCGGGGACAGGGGGCAACCACTCTTCGTCACAAGCCGACTTCGGTGGAGTTTGGTCGATTTTGCGGCGAGAATCCAGAGGCTTGGTTATTTCAAGCGGAGCGCTACTTTGCTCATTATGGAATTGCGGATGATGAGAAGCTCACTATTGCCTCGTTTTACCTCGACGGCGATGCCTTAGAATGGTATAGATGGTTGTACCGGAATAAGCAATTGGCGGGTTGGGAGCATTTTGCAGAGAAGGTACGGATTCGTTTCCTTCCTAAGGGGCTCGAATCTGCTGAAGGACGGTTGGCCAAGCTCCGGCAAATCACCACCGTACCTGAGTTACAAAGCCGCTTTGAGAAGATAGCAAACGAGACTAGTGACATCTCTGATCGGCTCTTGGTATGTCTTTTTGTTTCTGGGCTGCGTACTGATATTAAGAGTTCTATTTTAGCCCATCGGCCCACTACATATGAGGATGTTGTACATTTAGCCCATATTCACGAGCAACGTATCCTAGCTGAAAAAGGACCACCTCGCCCCGCATTTGCCAATAGAACTCCGCCCCTTTTACCCAACCCTCATACAGTCCCAAATAATATTTCCTCCACCTCCGTCGGCCCTTCCAATTCACCACCGCAAACCCGCGCAACCCTTAAACGCTTATCCCATGCTGAACTTCAGAGCCGGCGAGAGCGGGGTCTTTGTTATTATTGTGAGGAAAAGTATACCGCAGGTCATAAATGTAAATCGCCTCCTCAATTATTGCTCCTCACTAATGAGCCGGAGGTGGTTTTATCCATGCCGGAACCCTTCTTCTCCGATGAAGTATTGCCAGAGGAGTTGCAATGTTTGGAGATACAGGAGCATTATACTATCTCGTATCACGCTTTAACTGGTGGTCATTCCCCATCTACACTCCGATTCACTGGGCAGATTAATGGCTCCTCTGTTCAGGTCTTAGTGGATGGAGGAAGTACCCACAACTTCGTCCAACCGCGAGCCGCGAAGTACTTACAACTGTCTATTGACTCCATTTCCCCTGTCACTGTTATGGTGGGTAGCGGCCATCGACTTAGGTGTGAAGGAGTGGCAAGGCAGACCACCCTTTTACTTCAAGGGAGCACGGTGGTAGAAGATTTTTATGTCCTACCATTCGAGGGGTCTGATGTGGTATTAGGGGTATCATGGCTCGCCAAATTAGGTCCTGTACTAACTAATTACGCCACCAGGGAATTTGAGTTCAACTGGAATGGGTGTCGAGTGAAGTGGCAAGGGGAACCCTCTATTGATATTCAACCGATACAGTTACATAGCTTGCGAAGGATGGCCGCCACCGACGCTATTGCTTCATTCTTTCATCAGGAAATGCTTTGTGGGGAGGTAGCATCCGTGGTGGCACCTACTGCAGAGTTAGCGTCCCTTTTGGACTCTTTTGAGGATGTTTTTCAAAAACCAGTGGGCTTACCACCCTCACGTGCCCAAGATCATGCTATACATCTCATTCCGGGTGCGCAACCTGTTAATGTGAAGCCCTACAGGTACCCCTATTTTCAAAAGCAAATTATGGAACAACTAGTTGCCGATATGCTTAAGGAAGGTGTGATTCGAGCAAGCAGAAGCCCTTTCTCTTCTCCAGTGTTGCTGGTCCGTAAGAAGGACGGCACATGGCGATTTTGTGTCGACTATAGAGCATTGAATGCGCTGACCATCCGTGATCGCTTTCCAATCCCTACCATAGACGAATTGTTTGATGATTATTTGGGGCACAATTTTTTTCCAAGCTGGACCTGTTTTCTGGGTATCACCAGATAAGAGTTAAGCCTGAAGATGTGGCTAAGACCGCATTTCGCACTCATGAAGGTCATTACGAGTTCCTCGTCATGCCCTTTGGACTTACTAACGCCCCCTCTACATTCCAGGCGCTAATGAATGACATTTTCAGACCATATTTACGGCGCTTTGTCTTAGTATTTTTCGATGATATATTGGTCTATAGTCCAGATTGGGAGGCACATCTGGAGCATTTGGAACTTGTTCTGTCCTTGCTTCGAAAGCATCAGTTGGTCGCCAAAAGATCTAAGTGTCTATTTGGTCAGCAGTCGGTGGATTATTTGGGGCACATTATTTCTGCTCAAGGGTTGTCTGTTGATCCTGCCAAGATTGCTGCAATTCAGCAATGGCCTGTCCCTCGCTCTGTAAAAGATGTCCGTAGTTTTTTGGGATTAGCCGGGTATTACCGGCGTTTCATTCATCATTATGCCGCGATTGCCGGGCCACTTTTAGACCTATTGCGGAAAGACTCTTTCAAATGGAGTGAGGCAGCACAAGAAGCTTTCAATGCATTAAAGTCTAAGTTGGCTGCGACACCTGTTTTGACTTTGCCGAATTTCAACCAGGAATTCCAAGTAGAGACAGATGCTTTGGGGCAAGGCATTGGGGCTATCTTATCACAAAAGGGTCATCCTATAGCCTATTTGAGCCAGAAGTTGAGTGCGCGAATGCAAAATGCCTCGACTTATCACAGAGAAATGTTTGCCATTACTCAAGCTGTGAGTAAATGGCGACAGTATTTGTTGGGGAGAAAATTTACCATTTATGCGGATCAACAGTCCTCGAAGAACCTCACAAATCAGACCATTCAAACACCTGAACAACAGAAATGGCTCACAAAGTTGGTGGGCTATGATTTTCGCATCGTGTATCGGCCCGGCAAGCAAAACACTGTAGCTGATGCCCTCTCTCGTACTCCTGCTGCTTCTTTAATGGTTCTGTCTGTCAACACCTTTGCAATCGAACAGGAATTTAAAGCTCTAAATCAGTCCCACCCTGAGTTATTAATTATACAGCAGCGTTTACAGCAAAAAGATGTGGACTTCTGCGAGTATTAATGAAAAGAAGGTCTTCTGTTTTACAAAGGAAGATTGGTGGTTCCTTCAGATTCACCACTCCGCCATAAGCTCATGTTCGAATTTCACTCTTCAGCCATTGTCGGCCGTGTTGGGGTAGCCCGAACCTATCACCGCTTAGCTTCCAATTTCTTTTGGAACTACATGCGACGAGATGTTAAGTCCTCTGTAGCTGCATGCCAAGTTTGTCAGCAGATGAAGGATACTCATTTGCATCCAGCGGGGTTGTTACAGCCCCTTCCCATTCCTGACCAAGTGTTTGAGGATATTGCAATGGATTTTATCACTTGTCTTCCTAGTTTTAAAGGGAAGACTACAATCATGACAATAATTGATCGTTTATCCAAATATGGGCACTTTATTCCATTGCCATCTACATTCTCTACTCAACTGGTTGCGGAAGCTTTTGTCGTGGGTGTAATTCGGCTTCATGGTCCACCAAGAACTATTGTAACTGACCGAGACCCCAGGTTCTTACACTCTTTTTGGCAAGAGCTCAATCGCTTACAGGGATCTACTTTGGCTATGAGTACTGCCTATCATCCCCAATCGGATGGGCAGTCTGAAGCTCTAAACAAATGTGTCGAGCAGTACCTCCGCTGCTATGTTGCTGATGTTCCTTCGCAATGGGTAGCTATGCTGCCGTGGGCTGAATATTGGTACAACACAGCCTACCAAACATCAGCAGGGATGACTCCGTTCCATGCCTTGTATGGTCGTGAACCCCCGACTATTGCCCGTTATATACTAGGCATCACTGCTAGCGAGTTGGTGGAGACTTATTTGCTACAACGGGATGAAGTGCTGCAGTTGCTCAAGTACAACTTGGCCAAGGCGCAAACACGCATGAAAACTCTAGCTGACAAGTCGAGGACTGAGGTTGCCTTTGAGATTGGGGATTGGGTTTACGTCAAATTAAAACCCTATAGGCAGGTATCCCTTCGTTTGCAAAACGACCACAAATTAGGTAGACGATACTTTGGTCCTTTCCAGGTCCTCAAAAGGATCGGTTTAGTGGCATATAAGTTGGAGCTTCCAGAGGCGGCTAAGATTCACCCTGTTTTTCATGTCTCCATGCTCAAGCGATGTGTGGGAAGCCCAGACCAACAAATTACGCCGCTAAAATCTGCTTGATTTCGCCAATGACTCTCCCCAGCTCGATCCAAACCTTGAGGACAAGGTTGTTTTTCAGGGAGGGAGTAATGTTATGAATACAAACACGTTGGCAGCTGACAAAGATGACAGGGAGGATACCACTAATGACCATCACATGGATCTGCCACGTAGGAGTTCTAGAACAGTAATTCCTCCGGTTAAACTTGGGGATTATGTTTGGAAAGGAGGAGGGGCACGTAAGTAAAATGACAGAGTTTGTTAGAAAGATAAAAGCAACAGTAGTGCGGCATTGCGAGGCAGGCAAAAATGTTATGAGTGATTTCTGGTTTTCTCATCTCTTTTCTTCTGTTTCCTCGTCTCCTTCCTCTACCTATCTTAGCTACTTTCCTTTTGCATTTTCATTTGTAAATTCAGTCAATTGATTGTTGCAAGTTACTATCCAATTTGTAATTGTTCTCCAGTTTACTAATATCAAATAGATAGTTTGGCTACTGTTTCATTGACTAATAGTTGTCATTACATAATATCTATTAGTTTATTAGACACCATGATCATAATTATATGGACTAGTATTTTATTATTATTTCTTTTCGAAGGGGATCCTTGGCGTAACTGCTAAAGTTGTTGTCATGAGACAAGGAGGTCACGGGTTAGAGCTGTGAAAATAGCCTCTGGCAGAAATATTGGGGAATAGACCCTTGTGGTCCGACTCTTCCATGGACCCCGTACACAACGAGAGTTAGTGTACTGGACTACCCTTTTATTTTATTTTTTCTGCAATAGCACCCCTTTTATAGAGCATGTGACTGACTCTCGAGGAGACCCTATAGTGTAGTCCAGTACACTAACTCCCGGCTTAATTATCAAATTTGACCCCCGAACACGATCCCGGCTTTATTCCTTGAGCTTTTACTCAGACTTCAAAGCTTCAAATCACTTAAATTCATTCCATAACATCTATATAGCTCGGAATCACACCTACAAGGAATAAAACACACAATTAGCGCAAAACACTAGCGATTAAAGCGCAAACTCAACTAAAGTGCAGTAAATTAGAGTGTAATAATCGACTAAAATACGTAATTATAGTCTATCATCAACCCCCACACTTAAACCATTGCTCGTCCTCGAGCAATCAAACTACACTATTTTTTTTTAGACACGACCTTTTTAAACAATTCTCCTAACTCATCACACCAAGAGTATTTAAAATAGACTAAGCACAAAAGCGTAACATCTTCACCTCAAGATTTGACTCACAAGTACCACACATTATTCACAACTCACCTACTTACTCTAACCTAGAGGTCACTGACATACCTTTCCTTCATGAATCAGGTGCCCTCACAACACAAGAGAGTAGTTCCACACAATAAAATTTAAGAACACTTAGGAACTCAAGATAGAAAGAATTCACTCACTCTCAGAAATAACATTCATATGCCACAAAAGATGCACCATAAGCTTGCCCGTAGTGTACTACTCCACTAATCGAGCTCATTCAATCTTGGATCAATTAGGACTTTATTTGGTTGTAATGTAGGCTACGGGACGGGTAGGATACATTTAGATATAAGAGTGACTACACCTCCCTAAGCACTTTAATACATACATTTTAACATTTAAACCCCATACTTATGTCAAACCAAAACTCCACCTTCACATCAATGTATATTACCCCATACTTCTTTAAGCACACTTACATCAAGAGCCACCACTTATCAAGGAATTTTTTTTTTGTTAACAACAATCCAGCTATTTTTTTTTTCAATTCAAGTGGCTCTTCCTTTTTTCAAATAGTGCACATTTCTCCTTATTCAATTAGTTCCACTCAAAAGTCAAACCAACCACCCCACAGTTTAACTTTTACAAAGTTCATAACATTCAAGTGCTCATGAGAGGTGAAAAGGTTCAAATAGATGGTTAATTCAAACAAATGGGTAAGGCTTGTAATGTGGTTGCCAAAGAAACAGGATTACAGGCTCAAAGGGGTTAACTACGATACATAATAATTAGGCGGGTAAAATATACATATCTGGCTCAACAAAGAAATGCCTATATCACTGCCTAGACTGAATAAAACTACAATTTCGCTTTGCAAACACACGGGGCAAGTTCTAGGCATCAAATGCAATGCACAGAATATCACAAAACCTTACACACACATGGCACATAACTCACTCAGGATTGGATTCATCAAGACACCCTAGTCAGAGCAGTTAAGCAAATTTAAGATCATACAATTTAAGGTACTTATACAAGAGTCAAAAACTGAGCCTAAGCGTCACAGCCAAAGTACTCACTATTCTCAAGGCATAACAAAGTCAAGAGATATTTCTTCATTTCTAAACAAAACATATTGGCTCCTATTCCCAAAAAAAAAAAAACTAACTACACCCGGTTCAAATAAAACCCTTGGAAAAGAACCGTGGTTTAAAAAAAAACCAAGGGGAAATTGCTACACTTCCTTACAAAATAAAAAAACTTTTTGGTATTTTCTTTAGACTTACTTCCCTCAAGAAAAGTGTCTAGAAGATCTGTCATCAGGAAAAGTCCAATCTTTTAAAAAAAAATTATTTAATTAAACGAACACAACTAAAGTAGCATGAAAAACCACCCAGACAATCTCCTCACCCCACACTTAAAATTTTGCATTGTCCCCAATGCACACCATAACTAATAAAAAGGGTAAAAGAGACTCCCTGGTAGGCCAAAGGCCGAAGCACTACAGCTCATGGGGTACTCAGACTTCTCCCCAGCTTGGTCCTTCGTGCGGGTACCTCACACTTAGTTCCAACCATTTGGTTTGCTGTTGCATTCTTCCAATACCTTTGCTTTCCATGCTCCTAGAAAATAAAAAAAACTGACACTACAAAAATAATACAATTAAAAAAATAAAAATAAAAAAAATAAATAAAAGAAAGCAATAAAGCTGGGTTGCCTCCCAACAAGCGCTTGATTTAACGTCGCGGCACGACGTGAATCACTTTCTGCCTCCACTTTGAACTTATGAATCGGACTCCAAGTTTTGATTCTGCTCTATGATCATGCTCCTGGGGTGGTGGAACGAATCTGACTGGCCCAATAAAATAATGTAGTATTCTGCACTTCTTGGCCTTTATATGAGGTGTGTTATCCCGACTTTCTGGCAAGAAGAATTCCAGATGTAAGCACTTTGTTCATAATTCCTTGACTCCTCAAATGGCTCGGACGACTCTATTTCCATATCATCATCTAAACACAATGTGAAAAAATGCTTGGAGTGAGGACCAATGCGCTCAACTACATGAACATTGAGACTATCTACATTTTCCACACTAATGAAAATAGAGTCAACAAAATATGTATCCTCAATATCCTTGGTTGACTCTAGTATCTCTTCTACAACATTGACATCCTCAAAATCTAGTGCGATTGATTGTTGGTGTTCTACTCTAGCTTCCTCCTCTAGCTCATCCTCGTATTTTTTTAAATCCTCCAGTAATATGGCAATTTCTACAGCCCTTTCTTGCTCATATTGGCTACTATCCACAATGTCAACTTGTTGCGCTTTACCAGGTTCAATTAATTTATTCGCTTGAGCCTCTAAATTATGAATAGTTGCCCCTTGCCTTGGTACCCGCAGTTGTATCTCATCATATTGTTTCGTAAGGCACTTTAGCATATCCTCGATCTCTTTCAGGTCCTCATACTTGGGTTCTTTGCTCCTATTAACTTCACCAGAAAAAGAAGAACCATCAAAGTAAGGGGTTGGGGGAAGGTAAGAAATATAAGCACAACCGTGAAAGTGACCATCTTGACCACCACACATATCACACACATTCCACACATAAGATTGAGTTGGTGCAAAAAACTCGCTCTCAGGAATATTTTGATAATCTTGCCATGGGTGGTTTCCTTCACAATATGCATAAGGAGGATCAAAAGTAGAATTACCAACAACAAAATTCTCATAATTCCATGATGTCATGTTTCTCAAATAAACAAATAACACTAAAATAAAAAAAATCACATAATAAAATAAAAGTTCAAACTTGAAACCTAGCAATATGTACACCTACAACTACACCGTTAGTTCCCCGGCAACGGCGCCAAAATTTGATCACGCCCAACTATGCCTTATAAAAAGGACAATGCGGTCGCTGCAAATATAATCCGGTTTACAAGTCCGAAGTCGAATCCCACAGAGAACTAAGGTTTAGCTACAGCTGTTCACTATCACCAAGAAGACAAGCTTGAACAATTCCTAACTTATAGATATTAAGATTCTTCTGTTTAACTAATTAACTAACAAATTAAAATAGTAAATTAACAACTAACGATACTGAGGGTTATAGAAAAGATTAAGGAGGTCTAGAGTTATGATTTCCCCAATTGTCGGAATCCTTCCCGCTATGTCTTCTATAATTTCGCCTAAGTATTCTCTACCGATCATGAGCACTCTTATTACCACAAATCTCTCCCGAGTAATTACGACAATTTACTAGACGCACTCTCCCGAGCTACGCTAGCTGGCTTTTAATACAGCTCACTTCAGATCCCACCCAAGGCTTCGTTATCCTTAATCCCGCCTTTAAACCCTCGGTTATTAATCCCTCATATACTCTGGGAGTGGTGTTGTTCAACAATTACCTAAATATGCGCTCTCTCCCGAGTTATGCATACTAAATAGGCACAGCTAATTGAGAGCTCTTCAACCAACCACAATATAAACGTAGTTGAACAAATAGAGAAAAGCTATGGCTCAATTATATAAAAACATAACAAGAATTTATCCTACAAAAGGTTCTATCAAAACTCTAGATAACAAATTAGCTATTCATAATAGTATGTAAAACTACAATACTAAAAGTCATAACCAACAATGAAAAATAGGAAGAGGAAGGAAAAAACTCGTAGAAGAATTCTCCGCCTTGCTCCCAATGTGTTCTTGCCTCCTTAGGTCAAATCTATGTCCAAAATATGTCCCCTCTCCTTTCTTGGCCGGCTTCCTTGGTTTAATATAGGGTTTAGGGCTTAAAATCCCGTGTTTTGCACATAAGTCCCTGAAATTTCTGCCTCCTGCCGCGATTTTGCCGCGGTCGCGGTGGAACCGCGGCCAAACATGCCCTCTGACTCTTCAATTGTCCGCGACCATCTTCTACCGCGGTTCTGCTGCGGTCGCGGTGGAACCGCGGTTTTTCACCCTGTTCCTTTTGAAATTTTGAAAAACATAAAACATGAAAGTTGTAGCCCTTTGAGTTAGCTTTCCAACTATATATTGTAGAGCCCAAATGGAGTTCTGAGCAAAAAGTTATTTCTATTTTACTAGATAGTACGCAATATGCCTCCTCAAGTCTTCGTTCGTACTTAATTATCAAATTTGACCCCCGAACACCATCCCGGCTTAATTCCTTGAGCTTTTACTCAGACTTCAAAGCTTCAAATCACTTAAATTCATTCCATAACATCTATATAGCTCGGAATCACACCTACAAGGCATAAAACACACAATTAGCGCAAAACACTAGCGATTAAAGCGCAAACTCAACTAAAGTGCAGTAAATTAGAGTGTAATAATCGACTAAAATACGTAATTATAGCCTATTATCACAAAGCCAAGGTTGTCTCAATCAATGTCGGCTAATTCAGATGTTATGTTGCTGTTATAAAAACAAAGATCCTATCAGTTATGTGAAAAGCAATAAACAAAGCTCTACCATGAAGTTGTTTTTTTCTCTTTTTAATTTATGCATTCTGATGGTACTTGTATTGGAGGAAGTAATCACTTCCCTTTCTCATTGTAAATAGCATTCCATGACCATTGTCCTTCAAATAATTGATTAATATGTTAAAACAAAAGCGCAAAAAGGGCAGAGCAAATTACCATATGATATTGATAGTGATATACCTTCAGATCAGCTGATTGTTATCCTACCACATGTCTTGATTTTGCAAACCAAATGTTATGTGGTATTTTAGCCATTCCTTTTTTGTGACAGAAGTTTGACGTCCAAACTTCTTCCTGAACACCTCGAGTATGTATACCGGGGAATTTCAGAAATGCGGCTTATGCTCATTTTCTTATTATATTATGTAATGGGCACAAATTGTTGACAACTGAGGCATATGATGATATAATTAAAGCAGAATTACCAAATAGTAATCGTGAACCAAATTTGCGCAAACTTGTTCTTAAGCATATAATGCACGGCCCTTGTGGTAGTTTAAACCCGACAAATTGTTGTATGAAAAAAGGTTGCTGCAAATACAAATACCCACAAAAGTTTGCCGATCAAACATCAGAAGGAAATGATTTGTATCCTATATATAGATGAAGTAAAAGAATATCGGACTGCCAGATGGGTATCACCTCCGGAAGCCTTATGGCGTCTCTTTGGTTTTCCTATTAGTGAAATGTATCCAAGCGTTTATTGTCTTTAGCTACATCTTGAAGGCCAACAATTTGTTTCCTTAAGAGCAATGTTGGTATAAATACGATCGTGAACAATCCGATGATCAAAAAATCGATGTTAATAGAATTCTTCTATATGAACCAAACTGATGAAGATGCTATAGAGCTGAATTTACCGTACAAGGAATTCCCTGAATACTTTGTGTGGTCACATTAATGGATCATCGACAATCAGAAAAGAAATCTCGCTCAGTAAACGAAGCTCATGATGAAAATACCAAACACCGTAAAATAGATAACTCTTTAGCAATGACTCCAAAAGAAGAAAAGTTGTTGCAACCTCAAATATCGACAGGAAACAACCAATCGTCTTCTCGCAAATGCAAATCATGTGAATCTTGATGGAACGATATCTCACATACAGCACGATCTTAATATTGGAGTAGCTTTTCCAACTTCAGAAACAGGTTAAAAATCAAATATGTTATTTCTTTTCTTGCTTTTTTAGTATATACATACACAATGATTATACATGTGCCGTCCCTCACAGGTACTTTCCTTTTCCTGCTTTGTTTCTGTCCTAATTAAATATCTTTTAGCTGATAAGTTAATTTAAATGTTGTTGTTCTCTATTTGACAGATACTGAAATTGAGGAAAAAACTCCCACCCTCGATGATGTCGATATATCATGTATTTGAGATCTGAATTTGGAATATCAGCTTGCTGATTCAAATGGAAAAAATTGTGGCATTGATGTATTAAAGTTTTCTGATGCAGGTAACTCATCTGTTTATGATGCTCTGCGATCTGACATCCGTAGATATTCTACATTCAGCACTAAGGAAAGCACAGAGGGTCTCGCCTACAAAGGGTAATCTTTTGCTTTGTGTCTATATAGTATATACTTCCCCACTTCGTTATAGTTTCAATTTTTGTGTTGGATTCAAGCATGGATGAAATAAATTATGACATTTAGTTAAATATTTAATAATCATTGTTAATCTTGCAAAACGCGAGATATGGAAACTATGAAGAGGTAAATCTCGATCACTCTACATATAGATTCACCTATTACGTGCTCTGCCTGTACAATTAGTAGTTATATAGCATGGGTTTTAATTTTAAATTTCTAAATTTAATAAATTGAGCTAAAAAAATGCATTAAATATTACACGTTTTTGTGTCAAAGATATTGTGTAGAATTAAATTATATTAAAAATAAATGCTTCACCCGCCTATGGCACTACCACTATAAATAGGAATATGTTCGTTCACCTATGACCTATCCAAACATTCACACAATAACTAACCAAATTGTTCTAGAACCAAAAATTCCAATCCAATGGCTTCTACTTCTACTTCTTTTTTTCTTAACTCAACTTCAATTACCGGCTCCAAATTCTTCGCCGGTACACCACTAACACCGCGGAGCTTCGTCAACTTCCAGTGGCAGCGATCATTCTCTGTTTTCGAGCCAGGTAGTTTATCCTTTATGTTCTCTGGAGAATGAAAAATATTTAAAGCTTTTTTTATCTGACATCAAGCAACCTTATCCTCCTAAATTAATAGATTCTGAATGTCAAACCGCTAAATTTGCCGCACAAAACACGACCTGGAACTAGTTGTACCACCTTCTCTTCTGCGGTCAAATCTCGTAAAGAGGACCGAAAGGTATTCATTGACAGCATGTTCTTTATCTTCCTTTTGATGAATATATGATTATTGGAATATTCAGAATCTGACTTAGAGTTCATACTGTCTAAGATGTATGCCCGAGAACCAGTACCACCATTTATTTCCATTCCGCATGTAACTCACTGAAGACTTGCTTGATATCGACTAGTTCCCTTTTTCCTTCAAATCTCTTTTTAAGTATCATACTCATCACCAAGGATGATTGATGCAAATAGGAACAAACAATTCATATCAAGAATCTAACACTACTGATTACTTAATATGTTTTCTTGATTCATAAGTTTGGTCGTTTCGCGCCCTTCCAGTTACTAAATAGATACAACAACAACAACAACAACAACAACAACAACAAACTCAGTGATTAAAATATCATGGTATATCCAGTTTTCACACTGGTCAATGAAAAATAGCCATCGTTTATCAAGTCAATGAAAAATAGCCACTATTTTGCTGCAACAGGGACCGGTCCAGTATAATATACGGGAGTTCTGGTGCATTTGTGTACGAACTCCAGCATATTATGCTGGACCGGTATACTTTGCTAACTCCTGTAAAATTTGCGGGAGACTGGAGCACCAGTGCTCCAAACTCCAGTATATTATACTGGACAATTATACTTGCTGGAACTCCCGTAAAATTTGTGGGAGTTCCAGCATAATTATGCTTGAACTCCCGTAAAATTTGCGGGAGTTCCAGCATAGTTATCCTGGAACTCCCGTAAAATTTATGGGAGTTCAAGCATATTTATGTTGGAACTCCCGTAAAATTTGCGGGCGTATTTTTCCGGATTTTGAACAGTGTTTTCGCTCAGATTTAAAGTGGCTAAATTTCGATGACTTTTGAAACTTGGCTATTTTTCAACGACCAGTGGTAAATCTGGCTATTTTTGAATTTCTCCCAACTCAGTTGGAGAATAATGTGTACGCAGAATAATGTCTAGGGAGACATCTATTTATAATTTTGCTCTAAGTTCAATTTTTCTTCTATAAAATTAGAGATTACTTATATATGTTTTCATGTATTGCATTGAATTCTACTATTATACTAGTAATATTTATTTATATTAGTAAGGTTTATTTTAAATTAATAAGATATTAGCCATGCATTTAAAATACACTATCTTGGATCTTGTTGTTAAAAAATTATTTACTAATATGAAATATTAGGTAGTTTAACTTAAATACTAAAATATTAAGCAACGTTCTTGTAAAAACTACTGAAATTGATCAAAAAATTGGAAACTTAGAATAAGGATTTTATTGCATTCTTAATATCGCCATGCAAGAAAATAATGAAGCTTTGTTTATTAATTAAAAAGTCAGTACTGAATAAAAGAAATAGTGAGGTTTTCAAATTTAGAGCAACGGCGACGGAGCAGCGGTGACAGACGAGATATTTTGGGAAGCAATGAAAAAGAGGCGCTTGTGTGTAGTTGAGATATGGTTTGAAAGAAGGTATTTGTTATAAAACTCAAAAAGTAGCTATGTATTATAATTATTTTAAAGTGTCACGACCCGAATTTTCCACCATCCCGATCGTGATGGCGCCTAACTTTTTGAATGCTAGGCAAGCCAACATATAAAGATCTAACACACTAATCACTATTCAAAACGAAAATAACAATAATTTAAACCAAAACAAAGTAGGAAGTGCGGAAGTTTATAATAATTCAAACACTAATACACGACTACCCAAAGATCTGGTGTCACAATCCACGAACTTCTAAGAGTCACTACAAATACTGGTTTAAAGAAAATACATCTGTTCTCAAAATAAAAGAAAATAGGGAAACTAAAATAAATGGAAGGGGACTCCAGAGTCTGCGAACGCCGGCAGATCTACCTTGGGTCTCCAGTGGACTGAAGGCAGCAACCCAACTCTGATCAGTGCGGTCCAGTACCGTGATCTGCACAGAAAGTGCAGAGTGCAGTATCAGTACAACCGACCCCATGTACTGGTAAGTATCGAGCCTAACTTCGGCGAAGTAGTGACGAGGCTAGAACACGACAACAACATAAACCTATGCAGTTAATTCATATACGAGAAAATGACAATAATTAGAAATTTAAGCAGATAATGACGGGAAGGGGGAGAACATGCTGGGGGAAAAATCAAATCCTGTAAGGGTACAGTAAATAAATGCAGTAAATAACATGCTTTGCACCAACGAAAGTAATAACATAGCAAACAAGTGCATGGCATCACCCTTCGTGCTTTTACTCTCGTCCTTACCATAAGAAATAATAGAAACAACACGGCATCACCCTTCGTGCATTAACTCTCTCATAACATGGCACGACATCACCCTTCGTGCATTATCAATATCAGAATATGGCACGACATCACCCTTCGTGCATTATCACTCATAGAGTACGGCACGGCATCACCCTTTGTGCATTATCACTCACTCACAATACATTGCACGGCATCACCCTTCGTGCTTTACTCTCTTTCTCACCCAAACAACAGAACAATAACAACCCAGCAAGGGAATCATCAAAAACCAACATCGTTTCACTATTTAACTTCACAATATAAATCTCGACTTGAGTCAATACTCAACCAATATCCAAATTCCAGGAAAAACATGATAAGATTTGTCTAACATAAAGAATAATCAGTTTAAGCATGAACAGTACGGATAAAGAATACAACAGTCACAAGTATAAGACACACTCGCATGCTATGACTCGACGACAACGTATAGATACTCGTCACCTCACCTATACGTCATACTCAACAACCATACACATAGTAAATAAGGCAACAACACCTAATCCCTCAAGCTAAGGTTAGCCACAACACTTACCTCGATTCCACGGCCGAACTCAAGCCTCAAACACCACTTTTCCCTTAGTTTCCACTTCCAATCCACTCGTATCTAATCATAATTAACTTAAAAATATCAATTATTGCTAAAGAAATCAATTCCAATGAAAAATTACAAGTTTCCCAATATTTTCCCCAAAAAGTCAAAAACCAACCCCGGGCCCGCTTGGTCAAAACTCGAGGTACGGACCAAAACCCATTCGCCCATTCACCCACGAGCCCATATATGTAATTAGTTTCGGAATCCGACCCCAAATTGAGGTCCAAATCCAATTATACAGAAATCCCTAATTCTACCCAAACCCCCAATTTTCACCATGAAAGCCCTAGATTTTAGGTTAAAATTGATGAAATGCAATGGGTAATTGAAAAAAAGTAGTTTAGAATCATTTACCAATACTCTGGGGAAGAACTTGTCTCTTGAAAATCGCCTCTAAGCCTTCTTGTTTTTGAGAATATGAAATAATGACTAATTCCCGTTTTTGATTCTGTTTTTAAAACACTGGATAGGTCTTCTTTGCGTTCACGAGAGACCTGCCGCGTTTGTGATGCACTGCGGCCAGAATGGCCTTCGCGTTCGCGAAGAGCTGTTTGCGTTCGCGATGGTCTATCCCCCCTGACCATTGCGTTTGCGGGCCTTGGACCGCGTTCGCGAAGAACAACTCAAAAGATTTCCTCAACCCACCTCCAATACACTACGCGTTCACGAAGAGCTAACCCCCCAGTGCTCCGCGTTCGTGACCAACGCCTTGCGTTTGCGTAGAAGAAATCCCTCCCCATCCCAGCTTGCACTTCGCGTTCACGAGAGTTGCTTCGCGAACGCGAAGCACAAAGTATTAGCATACCAGAAGCCGTAAACACAACATATTTTCTAAGTGTAAATTACCCCGTAGCCTATTCGAAACTCACCCGAGCCTCAGGGCTCCAAACCAAACATGTACACAAGTCTAAAAACATCATACGGACTTGTTCTCGTGATCAAATCGGCAAAATAACACCTAGAACTACGAATTTAGCATCAAATTGCATGAAATTTTCTAGAAAGTTGAAAAGTTCTATTTTCTCAACCAAAGGTCCGAATCACGTCAAATCAGTCCCGTTTCTCACTAAATTACATAAATAAGGTATAAATATCATAATGGACCTGTACCAGGCTCCAGAACCACAATACGGACCCGATATCAATAATTTCAATTATTAAACAAATTCTTAAAACCATTATATTTCCAGTTTAACAATTTTTATTAAAAATTTATTTCTCGGGTTAGGGACCTCGGAATTTAATTTCGAGTATACGCCTAAGTCCCATATTTTACTACGGTCTCAAAATGTTGGCCGAAGTCAACTAAAATCACTTTTAAAGGCAAAACTTAATATTTTCTCAAATTTTCACATAAAGGCTTTCCGGAATCGCGCCCGGGCT